TGGAATCTCAGAAGCCTTAATTATGAGGTTGACTTTATAACATTTTTAAACAACATAGATTTGGGATCATAACATTGGCAAAGTAAGGATTTAAAAATATTATATTTCCTTCAAAAACATGTAAGCATCTCCTTTTTCGAATACATATATACATAATACTTTGAGATGAGGCACCAAAGAAAAGCCGTTTTGGTCACTCACAGTTGAGAAGGTCAATGACCAAGAAAGTTTCTATTTTTTGCAGTTTTTAAAAAATTATCTATTTATTATCAGGATATGAGGTCTTTGTAGAAAGGGCCTGATGACTGTTAAATAATGACTTTTTTTACTATGTCTGACTGACTGTGTGAGATACTTAAAAATGTGTTAATTTGTTTCTCTACCAATTCTTAAGTTAAAGCACTTAGAGGTTTTCACTGATGCATTTTTAATGTGTCATCCAAGGTGTCAGGCTTAACTATGCCCCGCAGACTTACAGAGTTGAAAGTGTTCTAGTTTAAATTAGCAATATTCTTGCCAAAACTCTTATTAAAAATTGCTTTATTCAACCAGTGAATAAAGTGTTTTATAGTTCATTAAAATTATGCTAAGTGATTATAATAAAATCTTTATAAAAAGATATATTACTTAAAAACAAGCCATTAAATATCAGAAGATATGCTAATGAGACATCATTACACAGTCTATATTATATTATTCAAAGGATGAACTCTTCTTAAAACAATTCTAAACTGTTATTGTTGAGAATATGAATTACAACATGTGTATATATAATCACAATGGTTATTTCTCATACAATTAAAGTGATTTATTGAAAGCACATAAGTTTATTATTATCACATCCACCGATAAACTCATTCTTCTACATAAACACACATACACATGCAACACATACACAATGTAGTGTTAAATAATATCTGCTTACTGTCTGATAGAGACAATTATTTCATTATTATGTTTCCATTTTTTTGGTTTGACATCACAAAATTTATTCACAAAATACATATACATCTTCTCTTTTGAGCTCATGAAACTTTTTTGTTGAATAATTTAACCTCAGAATAAATTACCAGTGATAAGCTTCTTCTATAGAATAAGATATTGCACTAACTCAAAGTGTTACCATTTATCTGCCAAATGCATTTGTCACGTAAGTAAAACTCTTTGACCAGGATAATTATCCAATTGCCCAAGTTTAGGGAGACACTGATCCCATTCTTCTTAAAATAATGTTTTTCTATAATAACTGAATGTGGAGGGGAATTGAAAATATATATAATGGAAAGTCTGCTGATAGAAAACCAGAAGGAGTGTTTTAAAGGATGTTACCAGCCCCAGAAGAGGATATGTTACAGAATTCAAAATTACTTATTGATAATTAATTATAGCATGTATTTTATACAGAGGTAAATATGTATACTTTTTTCCTACTCTTTATTAGGTGGTAACACATTTACTCCAAATAATACGTAAGTCAGTCCTGAACAGCAATTACAATTTCCTTGCCATCAAGTTGGCTATACATCTCTTATTTCAAATAGTAAATATAACCTCATGTTATGTGAGTGCCACAAATAATAAGATTTCCATGGAAAGAATCCATTATTGGCAAGACGATGAAAATGACAAGCAGATGTTTAAGTAATGGGGAATTCCATGAGCTGATTCACTTGTACAGGGGAGATGTGCATATTAAAAACATAACAATGTCAATTTAGCTTTTCCCCTCTCCAAGGTTATATCACTTCTGGAAAAAAAACAAAGAAATGGGGGGGGGGGAAGCTCCATAGTGGAGAAAATATCTAATAATACCTGACCATATGTAAGTCTTTGTCATGAATTTCATAATTCTCATATTTAAAGTCCCCATTGGTACTCAAAGATAGGGCGCATATCACAGCCCCGATGTAAAAGAGCAAAAGATCTCATTCTGTAAATTAAGATTCCAAAGAAGAAAATGACCTATTTGTATGAAAAATTCGCCTTTGACTTTGAGCACAGTTACATAAAACATAAAATACCCGTGTTTGAATATAATGCAAATAGTTATATATTCTTTCCAAAAATAAAAGGAAAACCCTTATGCACACAAGAACCTTTAAAGATTGAAATAATTAGAAAAGAGATGCATTTCTACAAAACAGTAACATAATAAACAGTAACGTAAAACTACGCAGTTTAATTACTTATCTCTTAGTTTCTCAGGAAGCACAGGTTACAGGAGCGCCCCCTTCTCAGCAGCCGATAAATTCTGAGACCCCCAGGGGATGCTGGAAACCACAGCGAGTTCCAACCCTCTACATCTACCATGTTCTATTTCTCTACGTACAGACCTCTGATGAAGATTAATTTGTAAATTATGCAAGTAAGAGATTAAGAACNCCTCTACATCTACCATGTTCTATTTCTCTACGTACAGACCTCTGATGAAGGTTAATTTGTAAATTATGCAAGTAAGAGATTAAGAACAACAACTAGTAATAAAATAGAGCAATGATAACAACATACTATGATGAACGTTATGTGAATGTGGTCTCTCTCTCTGATATCTGACTTGATAAACAAGGTGGCTACTAAGTGACTAACGGGAGGGGAGGGACAGAGCAGGGATACTCCGGATAAAGGGAGGATTCAGTTCCAGGCTGCATGGAGTGGGGTGGGTCAAGATTTCATCACACTACTAAACACGGCACACAACTTAAAACTTATTGTTTATTTCTGGGATTTTCCATTTAATGTTCTCCAGTCATGATTGACCACGACTAAGTGAAACCATGGAAAGCAAAACTATGGATAAGAAAGGATTACTGCACTTGAACATGTGGGAGCAGTTTCAGTGTGTGTGAAGGATGGCGACTGGTGGCAACAGAAATGTCAGACTTCCTCTGGATTTCAAATTTAACACTCTGCTCTTGAAACACTAATATGAACAAATATGACAAGTGTGTTAGGGGACAGTGACAATTTGAATGAATTATCAAGTATTCAGTATATTCTCATAGGGGAAAAAACACAAATTAGTGAATGGATTTTTCTTTACTTAGCATTTTATATCCTCATTAAATTTTATAAAGTTGGAAATCCCTTAGGCTAAAAACCCAAAAGACATATTACCACGTACACCAAAAATAATCTGCAAGTTTCCCAATGAGTGCAGAGCTAGACACAGAAATTCTTTCATGGCAAGCTAAAAATAAATGTACCAGTTTAAATGTACAAATGAATTATTAACAATAAATAAAAACTCAAAGAATTTTAGACATAAAAACAGTGGAGCCCAGCTGGGCATGGCTTAGCGACTGAGCATCAACCTTGGATCCAGGTGATCGCGGTTTGATTCCCAGTCAGGGCACATGCCCAGGTTTCCGGCTCAATCCCCAGTCAGGAGCGTGCAGGAGGCGGCCGATCAATAACTCTCTCTCATCACTGATGTTTCTATCTCTCTCTCCCTCTCCCTTCCTCTCTCTGAAATCAATAAAGATATATTTTTTAAAAAATAGTGGAGATTAGACATTTATTATTAATTTTTAATTATTCTTGTAGACCAAAGGAAAATAAGCAGATTTATATTTATTTAATTTATCATTAAAATTAAATTTAAATATAAGTTAAATTATTTATTTAAAGAATCTTTGTGTTTATTATTTCTATACTACAATAAAATGGATTATTCCCACTAATTAATACTAAATACTGCATAATATCTGGCTCTAACATTATATCTTAATTACATCTAGAAGAGAGAATATTACTACATATTAATGGATTACAAGTTTTTACACAGATCTATCATTATATAGACACCGAATGAGGAAAGCCAACTTGCATGACTTTTTAAAAATATATACTTTTACTAGAACACTAATTTTGAAGTACAATTACCAAGAAAAAATTGTAATACAAATATAAAGAGTGCAAACATCTCTTTAAGACTTCTTGAAACTTTATTTTGGTCAGTAAAAAAACACAATGAACATTAAATCAGAAATATTCAGCAACTTTCCTTAAAATGTTCTGTATTTTGGCCTTTTTTGTGTGAGTCAAATTATCTTTTGGTCATTACAAAAATTGGGAAGAAAATGTATAGTAAGCAATACTTATTAAAGCAAATTAAGTCACTGTCATACATGCAAAAACATTTTATTATGTTTCCTTCATTCACAATAATAAAAATGACAAAATTAAAGAAAAATTTAATAGCATGATTCAATCAGAATGGAAGTAAAAAGATTGCCATGTTCCAGGGTCTAAAAAAATTTGTCACTAGTGAAAAGGAATACTGATCTCTTAAATAGAAATTTGAGCAAACAAGATTTTCACAAATAAAATCCCTTTGATTTATTTTAAGGAGTATTCACATAAAAGTCAATTTCAACTTGATACTTATTTGTGTCCAAGAGTGGTACCACCACTGAACAAATTAGAAGCTTCATTTATATCTTGTTTATTTTACAAATTATCGGAGCCAGGGCTTAGCACATTATAGGAACCATAAGTTCCTCTCATTCTCAAGACCATTTATTTCTTGAAGAGAGAGGAAACAATGATGAAAAATTGTTCTCACCATACACTGCAAAGATGTAGTAATTCAAGGATTTTTGAGTTTAGAAAACCTTAGGCTGAACTTTCATTGAACAGAAACAGTAAGTTACATGAATTTTCCTTTCTCTGAAGGTGTTCCTACCCTTGCCTCATCATTTTCTTCCTGATCTAGAGTAGACATTTTCTAGACCCTGTGGCACAGATAACAGAAACCAGATGATGAGAATGATGCTGAGAAGTGACCAGAGATTAGCAAAAGGGTGATTTGGGTGCCACTGATCAGTGTGATTTCTAGTTACTTAAAAAGCAAGCAACACATGGTTTGCTGAAAGTTTATGGAGAAAAAATAAATAGTTGAAGATCGATGAAATCCTGTGGTATAATTTGAAGAGATATGAAAACAGCTGATTGATAGTTCTCAACAAGAACAGCTGACAGATCACATGGTAAGCCATTACCTTACTTGATCTTTTCCAACTCTTCCTCATTAGCATTGTCTGAAAATGAAATAAAGCATTTTCATTATCTTATTACTCAAGTACAGAAAAGGGCAGCCAATTGGTTTCTAGAAGAAGCTTAACATTTAAACAGCAGTTTCCAGCAACGAGTATCAAAGACAAAAATTTGTTTTTCACGTACCCACAGCTAGAAGAAGCACCTTCAACATTCAAGCAGTCTTTCTGGTGAGAGTTCATTTATTTTTTGTACAAAATATAAATAAATGGGACAGTGCATTTTAAAAATAATGGAAATTTTTAAATATCTTTAATTGTTGACTGGAAAAAAAATACATTGAGTCTCATGATTGGGGATTGTTCCTTTTGGTGGTGGAGGCTGAGGATGTACCATGACTTTACCAGGTATGTAAGAATTTTTCTCTTCAGACATGTTCAAAGTCTGTTGCTTTAATGGGATCTTAGAATTGTCTCTGCTTCCAGTTAATCAACTGAGAAAAATGATGCATATTGTGATGGCTATTAGTAGATCTTTCTGCTAAATGTTTAGTCATAACATATACTTTAGTTTTCTGTGTGTGTGTCTTAGTAAGAACTATGTATGGCTACAAGTTTTAATTAAAGTTACAGAGATTTTGTGATGAGTGTCCAAGATCATTGGTCTTTTGCATAAAGTCATAAAAATCTAAAGATTTTTCATTTCCTCTAGTTCTAAAAATTTGTCAATGAACACTGAGGTATTAACTTTCTGATTAACCTCTTTACTCTCTCTTAGCTTTATTAAGATCTTTAAGGCAGATAAAGTGGAGAATAGGGAATATTTGCAGCAAAGAAGATAGCTTACAGAAATGTTTGCCATATGTGTGTATCAAGGAAGTGTACTGGTACTTTTAACAACTATATCTCCTTCAGTAGGATTCACTATAAAGCAGGACCATTTTGGAAACCATTCATAAATTATAAAAGGACAAGAAAGAAAGATTTTAATTCAAAATTTAGTCATACAGAAGGCAACCTCTGGTCTAAATCAAGATAAGGAAATTACGTTGAGGTTCTACAGTAGGAAGAAAGAAAGGAAAGCATAAAATTGTCAATGATAAGGATACATTTATATTTTTGATAAATAGGGGTTTTATGGGCTATATGTCCTCCATATACATTCTCTGTTAAATACTGACAAAAATATGTAAGAGTAATAGATTTCCTAAGGTTATAATAATTCACCTTTTTTTCCTCCCAAATGGAGCTAGGAAACTGGAAAGCATTGTTATTAAATACTATTATAGAAGTATTTTATATGTTTTCTAAGTGCTAACATCAATTCATTTTAAAGCAACAAAACCCACCATTGGGCTGTGGAGATGCACATGTAGTGGACATGATAAATGTTTGTTGTTCATGTAAAATAAGTTATTGCAATCAGCATCAGCATCATCATCACCATCACTTTCTCCATCATCACTAAAAGGCAATTGGAAACCAAGCACTTTTGTGGTATGACATATTCACAAAAATTGTCCCATTAGGAGTCAAACAATAAATGTTCCATTGAAAGAGTTTCAGTGGACAAAGAATGGTAATTCTTAGAGACAATGTTTTAAATCAAATAAACAGATGAATTAAATAAAAATGTAATATCTCTTAACTCATGGCCATTTATCATCATCATCTAGTATCTAAGAATCTTATAAAATTCCATCCTGTAAGAAATGTTATGCTATAAAAAAGAAGCTGAGAACATGAGAAAGAGTTGCATTCCAGGGTAATACTACTCAGTAGCATACAGATTCATCACTGCTGGTCAAAGTCACATTTCTTGACTCAGAACCACTGCATACAGTTTAGCTTTCAAAATGTAAAACAAACTATAAGGTTGTTATTTTTCCTGTGTCTCAAAATTGGCTTTACAAACAGGCTGCATCATATTATTTTTCAGATTGGAACAGACACAAACAAAAAGTCAGTAGTAATTTCCCTAAGTATAAACATGAAAGATCTGGCAGTTATGGAAAGCAATTTGTTATTTTCTTTATTCTGTCTCTTGAGTTCTTTTATTAGATCCAGTGACTCTCAAAATGGCTCTAGATCTTATAACAAAATTTCTGGTTCTTGAGCCAAAACAACTAGCAAATTAATGGCTTTGAGTACCCCACTCCTAACTCTTTTTCTTTTTAGATGGTTGGGTTAAGGTATATTCAATAAAACTAAAAACAGAAAAGTATTTTTTTTAAAAAGGAGGTTTAACAGACAAACTATTATGCTACCTTTGTTATCTGTGAGACATGTTAGAAAGGAAAGATTGTTTGGGGAATGTTAAGGATAGGAGATGAAGCAAATTATAGAAAAAAAATTTTTTTTTGCTCTACGATCTTCAGCTGAGAAACATATGAATTTGTTTTTGAAAGTGTAATTATCTAATATTATTACAGTATAATCAAAATTCTTCATAAGCAGCTCAACTTTCTTTGAAGACAATAAAAGAAATAAGAAGCTTAAAATATGGCTTGTGATAGAGCTGCAAAACCGATTACTTTTTTAAAAGATTCCACAATCGCAGTCCATTTTTTGCTTTTATCTTTTGTTGTAGTGATTTCTTTTAGGCAATTACATGGCTCTACAGATATAAAGAAAAATCACAGAAGGGGTAGGTATTATAGTATATACATATGGTAAACATATACATAGCATTTTTATAGGTGAATATTTTTTCAAATGTTAGCTATGAAATAATTTAGAAAAATTTCAAAAATAAACTAACATAAAAAAATTAATTCATTAAAGGCCAAATAGGGTCAATTCATATGTTTCTTAGAATTTTCTACTTTTTAGCTTTAGCCAAGCAATTTGTAGGTCTAAGTTATCTAAAAGAGTGTGTAACACAAATTAACTCACTTTTATTTCACAAATTCTCCAATGAAGAAAGTTGTGGATTGAACTCTGCTAGAAAAAGAGCCAGAAAGAACTCAAACACACCATCAGACCAAAATACCATACACAGGACACACGTGTATGCACTACACACTTTTGAGGGATCAAAAACAGGACATACATTCAAAACAGAAATGACAGTTGTGTCATGCAACTCAATCAGCATGCTCCCCATGAAGATTTTGGTTTCTCCTACACACAATGCTGGAAACTTTAAAAATGTGTATATAGATACACATTTTTATAGATACACATGTTCTATATAGATATAGATAAATAGATATAGATATATACACATATACATATATACATATATATATCATGTTTTAGAGGCCTTAGGAGATTCAGTAGGCTGACAGGTATTTCAACCCATTCTTTAGTTTTACTGATTTCCAGAACTGGCAATCCACACAAGGAGAAATTACCCCAACGACATTATTCATGGCATTTATTGTCAGTATTAACAGTGTATAAAAAACTCACAAGATAACTGATTTAGAAATCTTAGCACTTTTCTATGCTAAATACTCTGTGTTCCCAGTTACTCATTTCTTCCTACTTTTAATAGCATTTTCTCAACATGAATGTTCTATTTCCTATTTGATTGTTAGGATTTATTTGTTAATGGCTCTTGAAACTCATATTCCATTCTCCATTTTAATACACATAAAATATTTAGCAAAGTTTTATAAATACAGGCATAAGAATAAAAATGCGGCTTTTAAACTAAAGTCTTAAGTCCCAAAAGCTTAAATATTTTCTGAGCTGATAGTCAAAGAGAACAGAACTCATAATTTTGCTGTGTGAGAGTCAATGAAAAATCATTTTCTGTTTCTGCCCTATACATCATTCGAAATATTTAATGGAACTGTGATCATTTAGTAACTGGTTTCTGGTTTGCTGCATTTTCAGCTGGGGTTTCTCTAAATAAGATTTGTTCTTGGATATTTGTGAGAGTTCAGCATGTCATTTTTACTGTTGCAATATGTTATGTATTTCAGGCATATAAAAATTTAATTTGAAGATACATTGAATCTTTGGTTGTTTTTAACCAAGAAACTTCAAATGTATTCCAGAGAAATATATTTAGCTAATACAAGACATTATAAAACAAAGAAAACAGTAACCTACTTCTAATTCATTGTCATCATTCGAAATCTTGAGATAAGCAATACAGACTGATTTTTAAGTCCATTATAATTAACATACTAATTTTAAGAACTCAAAAAGAAAATTAAATCATTATTTAATATTGTTTGTGAAAACCTCAGGGATTTGAATATTGAAGTAAGAAAGAAAAAAAAAGATTCAAAATATCTTTCCCTGCACCTTTAAAGCATCCCTTCTAATCCTCAGAGACATTCATCTACAACCCATTGAGCAACCATCAGCTACTGAAAGCTGGGCTAGATTTTGAGAGAAGTCATCGTAAGAAAGGTCATCAGGAGCAATAATTTACATGTATATTTTTTTCCAGGGTGACAGAATATAGGATGGAGGTGAGGCGAAGTATGGTACAGGTATATTTTAGGCAGTATAAGTGACATTGAAGAGAACTTCGACTTAAGGGTGAGTTTTGCAGGAGTTTGCATGGCTGGGACAGAGGTTACAAATGAGGGAATATATGTTAAAGTCCCTTGTTAAGAGTTTCTGTTTAATCATAGATATAACCACAGGTCACTGAACACTCAGAAGAAAAATAAAGAGGAAGGTATAGAACCTAACACAACGCTTAGTAGATAATCAGTAAGTGTTTTTTTCCAAAATAGATGCCTACTAATGGTCCTTGTTCATAGTTTTAAAATCTCATAACTGATGTTGCTTAACAGATTTAGAAATATTAATAAAATAGTTGAAGAACTGCTACATGGACCGAAGCAAAGGGCAAAAAAGCAAATTTATATGTATTTGTTACGAACGTTCGTAATGTAAAGCATATGATTAGAAACCGAGACCCAAACCTCGGACATCAGACTAGCCAAGATATTGGGAATTCAACAGAATTTCCTATGACGAATATTCGATCCTTACTCCCCACCTACTGACCCACCTCGCTTCTCTATAACCAATGTTATAGCCCATGTTAAGGGCTATTAATCCCATGATCACACCCATAAGGAGGAGCCAGGATAGCCACACGGCCACCCTTCTCTCCACTCCTCGGGTGTGGCTGAGGTCAGGATGGTTCACCAGCCAGAGACCAGCTTGGTACAGGCTGTGACGGTCATGCCTGTTCTGCTCCACTGAACCTTGGCTAAGCCACTTGCTTCTCTGACAAAGAGAGAAGACAAGTGAGAATCCACATTAACGAGGGAGGCAAAAAGACACTGTCTGTCAGTTGCCACAGAATAAACCCAGTGCTTTGAAGGAGAAAGACATGAAGTGAGGCAGTGAGTGAAAAATACTTGGCAGTAGCAGGTGTCTTCCAAAACGCTGAGGCAGTCGAAGGGATTCGAGTAAAGGTAATGGCATGAGGACTTCAGAAAGACCTCTTTGTGTTAAGGGTGAATGTAGCTGGAGAGATACAATGAGGAAAAAGGAAAAGGGAGAAAAAAACATGAATGATACCACGTTTTTGGTGTGTAACTGTTTCATGTAACCCACGTTTCTTCCCTAGTCACGTTTGATAAGTCACGATGATCAACAACCAGGCACTGAAATATTTTTAAATGATTTTTCCTAATTAGAAAGACATTGTGCCTAAATAATAAGTTTGAGCAGCTATGAAGAATGAAGGATTTCTGCAAGAATTGTGGAAGAAGAAATAGATTTAGGAACTACTTTGCTCGTGCTGAGATATATAGGATGTCCCCCAAAAATGTACACACAGTGCTTAGCTGATAGCTCAACTGATGTTTTTTCTTTTCAGATTTAACCCATTGGAATTAATAATTATTCAAAGTGTATATACATTTTTTGGGACACCCTGTATTTGGAGCAAGTAGAGGCTCCATTATAAGGTCACCTGATACTAATTTGATCCCTCAAACCCTCACTTTGATGTTAGAGTACTTAATAAATATATCTTTAATGTAAAAGTTTAGTAGACTTTCCATCATCAAATCACCCAAATAAGTTCATGGTTTGGGAACATATAAGACCTCAGGCACTTACGTATTTTCATATATGAAGTGCTATCCTTCATTAAAATAACAAAGAATCTCAAAGCAAAAACATCCCATCACTAAGTTTTGTTGATTTTACCTCCTATAGGTAAACCTGATGATTTCCCTCTGTTTCTGTCTCTGACAGTCCTAATCCTAACTTCCATCGCCTTCCTCCTGGATTTTTGCAACAGCCTTCTAATTGATTTCCAAGCAGCCATTCTAACTCTTCCATCTGTTTTCTACCATGTAGCTACAGGGCTATTTTCAAAAAGAAAATATGATTATGCCACTTCCCAGTAACAGACTTTTCAATGGCTCTCCATTGCTCTCTGAGGAAAGACCACAAACCTTAACATGGCCAAGGGTCCCTAAACAATCTGAGCATCACCTTTGCACTCCAATTGACATTATGCTCCATGATCTTCCACACTCTTTTTGCTTTTACCTTCTCTAAACTCCAGTACTTTTTAAATCCCTGATATGCAGCATGGTTTCTCTAGACACAGGGCCTTTGCACATGCCCTTTATTCTGCTTAAAATAATTCCTCTCTTTCTGGGTTTTGCCTTATTAACTCCTGTTTATAATTCAGTCCTTAGCTCCCATTTGACTTCCTTAGAGAATCACCATCCCCCTGACTAGAACAAATTCTCCTATATTTGCTTTTATAGCAACATGTATCTCTCTTTCATGGCACTTAAAAAAGCTGTCATTATACATTTTCTTCGGTGATTATTTAATTTCCTGAGTTCTCCACTGGATATAAGTTCTCCTATTTCCTAAGGATCTAGCACAGAACATGGATTATAGTAGGTTCTCATTGAGTACCAGGTCCTCACCCCCCCTTCTGTCTGCACACATGGGCCTGTGCATATGCACACATACATGCATACATACATACATTCTTTTATCATGCTAAGTTCTCACAGTAGGTATTATTTGGTAATACTTCCTGGAAAAGTGAAATTTCTTACTCACTGAATAAAGTTATAGACACTTAAATAATAGTCAAATATTACCTATGAATATGTATGATCACTGTTTAATTTTTTAAAAGATAGAGAAAAATACTTATTGAAAAGGGTGAATTTTTCAATGACTTTAAAACACTTCCTAATTTGAAGGTGGAATTCACCATTTTTATCCACAATTTAGAGAAAATATCAATAATATCATTTCAGTAGACAATATACACTAAATTTAATCGTGAATTATTTTAAGAGGGCAAGACACACATTGCTGACATAGAATAAATACTTGAAATTTTAGGCAAGTAAATTTTTTAGAACTTGCCTAAAAAAATTATATCTACTCCTAAAATGTGTTACAGTCAGAACTAGTGAGAGTAGCTCTCAGTACACGAGAGCACACTGAATCTAATAAAAAAATCTCTGGTAAATTGTGGCAGAAAGTACACTGGCCAGAATACCAGTGTGGGTCACATCTGATACTTTTAATGTCCCTTCAGCAATGCTGGAGTAATTGGCTCCTCTGTATTCCTTGTCACCTTCTCATAGCAGCATGGTGTGCAAAGAAGTACAGACAGCCAGTGCTGGAAAATGGGTAACACCGATATGGCAGCTCATCAAAAAATGAAAAGTACTCACTTATCATTTAGCAAACAAACACCAGAAAGCAGAAACTCTGTTATAAATTTACTTCATTTTTGTTGTTGTTGTGGTACACCTAACAATATAGTCAAAATAGTAAGGTCTGGATACCTCATTGTAGAATTCCAAATATTCAATTCATTAATAAATGTATTCCCTGAAAGAACACTACCATTAGTCTACTATATAACATTTGAAACTGGGAAATAAAATTATAATAAAGTATGCAATTGTGTCCCTTATTTACAACAAGAGGTTCTGATCTGGAGCATAGAACAGGAAATTTGAGGTTAAGAGATACAATACACAGGGACTAGCAATACCCAGGGTACTCACACAAACAAAGGACAGGCCAGATTTTCATACACTGTTGTTTTATTATTGCCTCTGGACTCAGAGAAGGCTCACAACATTCAAACAATGTTTGAATGAGCATTTGAGAGCAAGAAAGCAGCCCTACAAGGTTGTGGGGGGACTTACCACATCCCTGTGTTCTCCTTCCTTAGGTGTAAGGGTGACTGAGAGCAAAATGATTCCAAGGTCATGGTCAGGATAATGGGGATCTTTCAGTGTTAGAGTCACATCTGTGGGTCTATGATAGAAAATATTAAGATTTTTAGCAGTTATTCAATGAATAAGCCAAAAATATATTTTTTTCAACATTTTTGGTCTTTCTTTACTAAAATTCCTGTTACAAGTGTTGTTGTTATTAAAATTTCATCAATGAATTAAGTCATCCAATAAGTGGTGTGTCAACTGGGTATTCTTGGATTCACTAGACAAGTTTCAGTCCTACGTGGGGTTCTAGAAAGGCCATGGGGTTGTTGGAAAGGCTGAGAAACCACAGCAGTATTGAGAAACCTGCTTGTTCCTTCTCTATGATCTCTAAACACACAGAATGCAATGGTAGCTATTTTCTATAAATGGTAGCTATTTTCTATAAATGTGAGTCCAAGAACTACATTGGGTAACTTATTGACCACTATCTTCCTTTTAGTTCTTTAAGATTTTTTTTTTTTAAGTCAGGAGTATGACATAGAGTAAACAAATGAGCGGGAGAAGAGGAAAATATAAAATATAATTAGCCTGATATATATTACAGGCATACTTTCAAAACAGTGTATAATTACCTAGAAGAAATTCCAATATTTTAAACAGTACTTCTATTTTGGGGTTCTTTACACCTATACCTGAACAATTTTTAGATTTAGAAGCACAAGGGAATCAATAATTTGATCAATACTTAGAAGACTTTAGAATTAGTTAAGTATCTCTTAGGAAAAAATTATGAATTTCTCAATATTACCCAAATTGTTTTTAGAAAATAAGCAAAGTATACATTTAATAGGCAATGGATAGGTGATATCTTGTTTCTATATTTTCATTAATATTTAACAAATAGGAGTTTATGCCCTCCATATACCTAGGGGACTGTGAAAAGTTTGGCACTAAACTTGGATCTTGAAATGCTGGCAAATTAGGGATGTTCCTTTGCTTGCTCAGTCACTTGTTCATTCATTTCATTCACAAAACATGTATTAAGTACATATTAAATGCCACACACTGTGTTAGATTATGAGTAAAAAAACAGAGCTCAAAACCAAAGATAAAATCCTTGTCTTTGTTGAGCTTAACTTTTAGGGAATGATACAGTTGGAATCTATTTCTGGGAAGAGGGTTTGGTTGGAAAAGCTGGTTCAAATAATATTTTTTGATCCTGGCTGCACATCAGAATCAACTGGGAGGCTTTAGAAAAGTGCATAATCCTGAACTCCACTCAAAATGATTCTAGTTCTGTAGATCAGGATGGGGTTTGGAAATTTATATATTTATAAAGTTTCCCAAATGATTTTCTCATATAACCAGGATTGAGAACCTTAGGTACTTTCTAATACTAAGTTACTAGTAAACTTTTACATAATGCTTAATTTACCAAGTCAAGGAGTGATGGTATTAAAAATATGAATTGTTTTTTGATATCAGGGTCTTTGACTGAAACATAAATATCCTGTTGGACAGATAATATATACTTTATAAGAGTCGTAATGCAAATTGTTCCAATATGATTTTAGTTATCACTAATAATATGGTTGTGGAATAACAATTTGTTCTTTTTATTTTAACAAATATATATTAAGCATTATACTGTGCATGTGTGTATATGTATGTGTGAGTGTGTGTATAAGGGATTACAACTTGATTTGACTTGTTTTCCTATAATGATTACATATAAAAATTAATAGAAAAAACTTGATTATATTTTTATAAGGATTGCTTGATAAAGATTTAAGGACATTTGCAATTGCTTTATGGCACATCTATTATATTCTTTCAAAGGGATATCTTAATGCATTATACAGTAGCATAAGTATTTATATGGCTACTATTATTATCCATCTTTGTACACCCAGAGGCTACTGATTTATACATGGAACATAATGGCATAATTACAAATATGTAATTTTGAAAAGCAATATGTAATTTTTAAAAGTGGTTTGAGGGAAAGGGAATGTTTACTTATATGTAAAATAAGTAATGTGGCAAGATAAACATCAAATGCTTGTATATCTTTTTATTTTCTCAATCACCCCATATTTTTCCACTTAAAATTAATTTTCAAAATAATTTATCATAATAGAGAAGAAGAGAAATCTATGCTCTGTGATCAAGTCCAGTAGTTTGCAGATCCTTACACAGAAGCCTACGGAGAAAGTGATACAGTCTTTATAGAAGGACAGCACAGCCCATTCCAGTTGGAGCTCAGTTTTTACGATAATGGACTACATACACCACCATCTAGGACACTTCCCCCAACTGTAGTGAGGTGGGGAAGCAGCATTCACCTGGGTTCTATCCTTAGGTCAAGCCTGCCTTTTAGGTTTCAAGGAAGGACATGTAGGAATTACAGAAAAGCCCCTCTTTTGTCCAGTTTGAGGCAAAAATGACCTTTGGGAGACCAACAAGCTGCCACTGTGCTCAAACTTAGCTGTCTATGACACATAAGGGGGCTCTACAATTTATATTTCTCCACTCATCTACACTTAGAAAAACAGGGAGTCATAATCTAGCCCATTATACTGCTTTCCTGCTTTCCACTCTCCCTGCCACATGATGTAGCATGAACACCCTAAACAGAACTCCTCTCCTTAAAACTATCAAAGATTTTACAGCCTCTTTTGCAACCCATTCCAGCACCACTTGACCCTTTTCTTAAGCCTATTTTTTCTTCAGTATTATTAATCAATTCTTAGCTCCTATGTTGAAATGCATTTTAAAAAATATAAGCCCATAATTAGGAACAAGGAATAATTAATGTTAGTAGTGATAATATAACTTTATAACTAGTCAAGCCATGGTGAACTGATGTAACTGAGCAAATACAACCAGTCTGCCTCCACTTTATGGGCATTCTTTTGTAACCTAAGATTACTGATGATGGGGAAATCAGACTCTACTTGACTCAGATGATAAGACAGTTGCTGTTTTAGAAGCAAAGTGCACATGTTTTATTTCCCATATGGTGGCCAGATTCTTAAGTTAATAAATATGATTAACAGGCATAATCTTCTTTAAGCCCCACTACTACAATCATACGAGCACTGTGAGAGCAAGAATAGTGTCCTTTCCTGGTACTTGGCACTGTGCTGGGAGACAAAGCAGGCATCCAAAAACTTTTCTGTTGAATGGTTGTTATTGAATAAGACAGTTAAGGAAGATGCTATTATTTCCATTGGGTGGATGAGGAAAACGTACTTAAGAAAGTCTGCTTAGCATGAAGGCCCATAGTCCTGTATGACAGAGCAGTGCCTAGAATCCAGGTCTGCTATGTTGTCTATTACACTGGCCCAGCTTCCCAACAAGGTGCAGTGGCATTACAACAGTTCAAAAATCACCTGTTCAACTCCAACTGTGTGAGATCCAGAAAGGCTGAGCCCATAAAATCATCCTGTAGTCCAAAATCATAGTCAAATACCTAGAAGCCAAAAAGATGACATTATTATAAACAATTCCAAATAAGCTTTATATGAAAATATCTTGATGATAAAATATTGGTTTTGGTCTATGTCACCAAAACAATGAAATTTCCTAATATTTATTGTTGAAAATTTGTTTTTGTGCTGTGTAATACTAGGGGCCTCAGAAAACATTTTTTAAAATGGTGTTTAATTTCCTACTTAAAATTATTGATTTATATCAAATAGAACTTTAAGAAAGGTGAAGAACCAAATAAAATAAATCATCAAAAATGTGGGAAACACAGACATCGAATGCTTTCCCCATATTATAGAAGGGCATTAGCATTACTGGAAGGCAAAGTGAGCTGGTATGAAATTCAACAAATATGTCTTCCATACTGAGCTAAAAATTATGAAAGTGTGATTCCAAATTCTTCATATTCTTCAGGTCATTGTAGATAAATTCTGTGATATTATAGGACAATGCCACTTAAACATACAAATGAATGAAAATTATGATATTATGATTGAAGTATTTTATAATGTTATATTAAGATTAAGTTATATTAAGTGTTGATTGTCACAAGCAATGGTCAGAGGATAACATTAACATGACCAACAACAAGAGAAAGGACAAAGAAAGAAGAGAGAGAATGCATTTCTCCCTTCTGTCAAACAATTTACCCAGTATCTTCACTGTGTCTTTCCTACTCCAGTGAGTAAGACAGGCAATGTCCCTGACTTCCTTATGTTTCGGGGCTGAGACAGTCAATAAATATCCAAATAGACATGAGCAGTTTAGTAATGGATGATGCTATGGAGACAGAAATCTAATGGGGCGTGTTTGTGCTGCTATTTTAGGTAGGGGGTTCAGGGAGGCCTCTCGGAGGAGGTGTGCTGTATAGAGACCTTAGTGATAAGAAAGATAAGCCATGTTAGTATGGAAAGAGCACTTGAAGTGGAGGAAACAGCAAGTAATTAGCATGTTCAAGGATAATTATTAAGAATCCAGTGTGGTTGAAGCAGATTAAGAAAGATGGAGTGTGGAAGGAGATTGGAGAGAGAGTTCAGTGCTAGATCAGTTAGGGCTGTTTCTAAAAAAAAAATCTCTAAGTCAATGGGAGTTGGCTAACTTCTAGGCATTTATTAATTTTTCATATTCATTCCCTCAGCCAAGATTGATTAAGTACTTATCATGTGTCAGACAATGCTCTAAGCATTGTAAACAGAAGTGAGCAAAATGGACATTGTCAATGTTTACAGTATAGTGAGGGAGACACATGTTAAACAGAAAGTGCATAGGTGATATGTAATCACACATTTTGGTAAATGTTGTAAAGAAAAGAACAGGGTCTGAAAAAAAAATAACAGTGGATGTCAGGGAAATTTTAAGATGGAAAAAAATGCTACTAGGTAAAGTTTAGAGCTGTGCTTCTTGACCTTTTTAAACAGAAAATCATACACTCATATACTGGAGTATATGAGCATAAATAGGTAAGGACAACCCAGGCTATTAGACTCTCCAGGATGTGAGAATCCATAGCCCAGCACTCTTGTGCCCAATTCTTGGCACAACAGTTAGAAAGCTAGAAGCAGAGGGAAGAGTATATACAGCAGCCTGAATCAGTTACTGTTTTTTCTCTAGTGCAGGTGTACTTTGATTTAAATAAACTTAACATGTAAAAAAATCAATAGTGAAACCAAAAGATAAACACTTTGCATTACAAAATGATTCTTAAATTTGAAGAGTCATAAGGGGATTTATTTAAGTAATAAGCTCCTCTAATGCCTCTTAAATTATTCAATTTACAGTCATTTGCTTTACATACAACCTTTCAGGAGTACGTTTGTTGTAGAAAGTGCAGCACTCCTGCAATAAATTTTCTCCTTAATCAATTACACTCCTGAGCTTCAGTCATCTGCTCAGTGGGGTATCACATGAATATATTGCACATCGAGGCAACTGACACCTTAGTATTTGTCAGTGGCTGCAGTAGTGTATTTTACAACATGAAATTTACACCAAAAGTTAAAGAAATTTCTCTTGTGCAATCTCTTCTAATTGGACTAGCCTAAGGTTTAAAATCTTGGGGAGACTATAGTAACATGTAATCAATGAGAACATCTGAGGTAGATCCATACATGTGGAGTGAGGAACTGTGAACCAGTGAATTGATTAGTATAGATAACCCAACTGGATCATTTAACATTTAAACTCTCTTTACTCTCATGGCGACAGTCTTTCCTACTATCTTAATGCTAGATGCTTACTTTAGTTCTCAATTCCTATTAACCAGCAAAGGCACAAACACGGGACAAAATGGAAACATCAGAATCCATTTGTTAATGAAATTATTAGTTACGCTACTTGGTTCAAGCTCTATAAACTATTTGTCAGGAGGATCATTGCTCTAGGTGGAGCTTCAGAAATATAAAGCATAGAAAAGAGATGAAAGAAAAAGTACTCCCATTACAATAACAATAAGCACAGTTAACTCTGATTAATGTGTTTTCTATATTTACTATATGTTAGGCACTGTGTTAAATATATTACATAGATTTTTTTATTTAATTCTTATACAACTCAGTGAACAAGTTGTTTCCATTTTTCAGATAAGGAATCGAAAGCTTAACAAGTTTATGTTACTTTCCCCTAAATCCCAGTATTGAAAGGGGTCAGATTCAAATATTATTATCCTGGTGTCAGAAATTTAACAAATATAACTTGTGCTCCCACTCTGGGTGAAGCACTTAGAATTCAAATGTGAACAATTGAATGGAATCCTTATTTTCATGAATCCTCCATTCCATTGTGTTGAAAACATTAGGTAACATTAGCTAGAAATTGCTTGGGGGTCTCACTAACACCTCTCTTCATCTACAAATAAGTTTTGAATAAATGTTTTATTCTAATCAATGCATTATTTAGCTTCTGATTCAATTGTGTACCAAGAAAACCTGCATTAGGGAGTGGATCGGTTAAAATGCTTTTGGATGCAAGTAACAGAAAACAGCTCCCACTGGCATCAGCATGAATGGGGATCTGTTAGCTCAAATGACTAGAATGTCCCTAGGTAATTATGACTTAAGGGGAGTTTTAATTAGGTAGTTTGCATAATTCATATTTTTATTCATTCATTTATTTGAAAAATATTTGTTGAGCACCTACAATTTGCCAATTATTTTCTAGGTACTGGAAAAAGAGCAGTGAACAAAACAAAGACTTGGATTTCTTGGGGCTTATGTATGAGGGAAAGATGCAGACAGTAAACAAACGCATGGTAGGCAGTCATAAGTGTCATGTAGAAAAATATCTCAGGGTATGGGAATAATGGGAACTGCTATTTATATAAGAGAAGGTGGCATTAGAATAAAGAGAGGAGGTTTAATGGGAATAGAAAGTGAAAAGGTACCCAGATCATACAATATGACCCAAGATATAAGATTCTACTCAGAAAATATATCCATGACTCATTTTTATACCCAGACAGCTTCAAAATAACCATTTCACTATAAAAGAATAATTAAACTCTCAGTCATAGAACTGACATTGTAAAACAAAGAAACAAAACACATTCTAACTCTGGCTATTGAAATTAACCCTCTTCAGTGGAAAATAGGAGCTTTGATGCTTAACTGCTGAGTGGACATTGCAATCTTCATCTCTCTGAGTCTCATTTGCCTATAAAAAGAAGAGATAGACGCAGACAACAGTATGGTGTTTACCAGAGACAAAGGGGTGTTGGAGAGAGGCAGAAAAAGGTCAAGGGGGTCAAATACATGGTGACAGGAGATTTGACTTTGGGTGGTAAACACACAAATGGAATATATAGATGATATGTTATAAAATTATTTACTTGAAACCTATATACTTTTATTAACCAATGTCACCCCAATAAGTTTAATAAAATTTAAAAAATAATAAAAGAGGAGATGATGGCAGTTACTTGTAGGGTTATTGTCAGGATTACATGAGATAAAGTAGCTCAGGCACTTAGCACAATGCTCAGTAAAAGGTAGCTATGATGATGATGATGCGACTCCATATTCTATCCCAAGACTCAGTAACCTCACATGTTCTTTGCTCATAAAGCAAAAGCAAGTACAGTCATGCTTTTTTTGTTTGTTTGTTTTGTTTCCCTATTGATTTTCTAAATCGAAAATAGCTGAGATTCTCGATTCATGCATTTAGGAAGTATTTTTGAAATATCAAAAAAAACCACCCATATCTAAGATAGCACAAACATCTCCTAACTGGAATAATTTCATCTGGGTGCTCTGTGGTTTATGGCTGCAAACATAATTCCATTCCATTTAACTATTCAGCTGTTTCCATTTAAATGTCTAGAAATGAGACTCTACCCAAACAGTTCGTCGGAATAAACTATGTATTGTGTTTTGAAAATGCAGAAGCATGGACTCTATCTCCCAGATCCTAAATCAGAATCTTTAGGAGCAAGACTTGAACATCTAGATTCTTTAGAACTTTCTGGATAATTCTTATGTACAGCTAGGGTTGAGGATCACTGGTACATGACATCCTTTCCGGGGCCTTAAAATCTACTGAGGAATAATTTTAGATAGGACAGTTATGTGGTCCTTTACTTGAACCTAACATAAAGTACTTTTTCAATTTTATATCTTAAGCTTGGATAGACATGTGTTATTTAAGGAGCTATCAATTTTATTAAAATGACCATCTTAGAAACAGTAATATGGCCCCTGACCAAATTGTTTTCCTAAGTATCAAAATTTCTATTATTTCGAAGAGCACTTCAATTTAATAGCCAGGTTTCAAACTCATGATTAGGCCAAATAAGCAACAATTTTTACAAACATTTCCCCCTTTATATTACTTCTGTCACTTCCACTGTAACTCTGGGGTTTCACTGTGTACCTTAGATAACAGAGTTGGTGAAATGACAATGGAGAATTTTCATTCAATTCAGTGGAAATAGATGTTGAACTTAGCCCATTGTTTAAGATGTGCCAGAGCATCCCCGAGGATACAGAGCAGGCTCCAGAGGCTCCTGTCCAGTTAGAAGTACTGCATTTTAACTCCCTGCTTCATACCCTTATCTTACTGTAATGTTTTTCGAGCCCCTTCCTCCAGACTTTTTTCACCTCCTGCCCTCACTGTGAAGGCATTCAGAATGACAGGAACATTCTGCTCACATTAAAACTAAAAGCTATATGAATTCCAACCAGTTGCAAAGTATATTCTTATTTATTTTGTGCAGAATATTTAAAAATGACAGTTCCAGGGTGTTTTTGAAAAAAATCTGTTTTTACTAGATAGTTTCAGTACAAGCACTGAACTTTAATGTGGTTTTATAACCTTGGCTCAGAGCTGGGTTGTTTCCCTTGGAGACCTTTACATTGATAGACATCAGATAACAGGGTATATATGGGCTTCCTTTTCCTTTCACTAGAGATGGGAAAGTAGCACGCTTAATATTTTATAACCATCTAGCTCATGGATACGTGTTCATATTACCTGTCACGACAGAATTGGTTAGTCCCTAAAAAATCTTTCAGCCAAGATTCACCTCCCCTCATGGAGGACGTGGGCATCATATTAAAGTGAAGTCAGTCAATCACACAGGGCTGTGTGAAGACAACGAAAATGACGCACTTTTCATGAAATTCTAGTAACTCAAAGTATCATTTCCAATGTATTTTATTTAGGTCTTTGTGTGTCCAAGGTTAGGCAAAAAGTGAATCACACACACACACACACACACAGGAAAAAATAAAGCAAAAAGTTAGAGATGTTTCTCAAAAGAAGCCCTATGTAATTAAAAGAAAATGAAAATCAAGTGAAAAGGATCCAAGCATAACCAAAAAGCATAAATAACACATAAAATAAAATATTGTCATTTTGCGTTTGTACTAGATTTGAGAGGCCAGTGTGATTTCCATTTAACTTAAAAACGTTTGCCCGGCCGGGCATGGCTCAGCGGTTGAGCGTCGACCTAGGATCCTGGCGATCGGGGTTCGATTCCCGGTCAGGGCACATGCCCGGGTTGCAGGCTCGATCAATGACTCTCTCATCATTGATGTTTCTCTCTCTCTCCCTCGCCTTTCCTCTCTCTGAAATCAATAAAGATATATTAAAAAAAAACAAACAAAAAAAACACAAACAAACAAACAAAAAAAAAACATTTATAATTCCCTATGTATCTTCTGTATGGTAGCAGTGAAGCCGTGGCTACTTCGTGTTGTGCCCTGAGGACTCAAAGTGGTAGACAAATAAACACAAACAACCCTCCGGTGCTCTCTCCCAGCTTCTTTGCTCACAGGGTGCCATTCACCTGCACACAGTGTCTGTCTCCATTTATAGGACAAGTATATCTGTGTGTGCATATTCTTGCTCTCAAACCAAAACAAAAATTTTTCCATCATTTTTTTTGGGGGGGTTTTGGTTTGTTTTTGAGCCAATTAAGATATTCCTTTTGAAATATACATTTTAACATCTGGATTTTTACATAGATTAATGCTTATTCTTGAACACAAGAGAAAAGCAAAAGAATCCAATCGACATCTAATGTAATTTTGGGAAGTTCATCTGTGACCCTTGTAAACACTGGTGATCCACATGGTCATAGAGTCATATCCCATTAAAGAAAGATCCACAACAAAAATAAATAAAAGTAACTCCTTCTCTTTCCCTGTTTTTCTCTTAGGGACATGATATGAGATTCAAATGGCCCAGTGCTTTCCTTTCCTACCCATTTTCCTCATGACTCCAGCTGCTGTAACTCATCTCTTTTGACCTCCCCAGGAAGAAAATTTCCTTTTATATCCCACTTATCTTTCTTAAATTCTTTTTTTCATCCCCCATCTCAGTTCTTTATTATGAAGGTATTTCCTTTTTTTCTCATGAAGATATTTCTTTCTCTCTAGAAGTGAGGAGCAGGGGAGAAACATCTCTGACCCGAAGGTCTTCTTGGTGAGAGGAGGGTTGTTGATGAAAACTCTCATATTTTTAATTCTTATGCCATCACATGTTATATATTAAAATAAAGTTCAGTAATTCTATTTAATTGATTTTTTTAGCCAATGTCCACTTGAGACTATTTCTTATATAAATACATAAGGTCTATTCTCCCCATAATGAATTCTAGAAACTTTTCAACTATAGACTTAGGAAATTCTCTTTTCATTGATCTTATAAATTGCCATGCTATGATTTTAATTAAATCTTGACTATATTTTCCTTTCTGTGGAGAAGAGAAACAACTGGAGACAATACAAATGAAGAGCTGAGGGGAAGGAGGTTGCCCAGAGAATGCTGAAAGAGGGATGAGACGAGTTTTGATTCATGTGCCAGTAGCTACAATTTAGAGAAAAGGCTGAGGTGTGTAGTAGAGAGAGTAAAAAAGGTTTAGTCACTGAATGGGCCCTCAGAACATAGGAGCCAAAAATAATATTGTACCTAGAGAGATGAACTAAAGGAAAGTCAGGTATGGAAATAAAACAAGGAATTAGGGTTGTAAGTAACCCTTTCCTTAAATTCTTATTCTTTAAAAAGCTACATCCAACTAGAGAACAGATATTTTTCATCTTTGATAACATAATAGAGGCAGGAATATTTCTCCCCCTATTATCTTTACCTTTCTCATATTCCAAGTAAACCATCTTGTCTGCAATCAGGACTGGTAGATCCCCTGTTATAATTCTTAATCAGAAGGCTGGGTTCTGTGTAAGCTTTCCTTGTTGCTAGCTTATATGGAGACTTGTTTGTATATGTTCGCAAAGAGCACTAAGTCAGTTGACTGCACAAAGCGGGAGGAGGTAGGCTTCATAATCCTCCTAAGTGACTGGCGATAGAACTGTCCTGAAGAAACATGCTCCCACCCGCTCCCCCTCCCCTTGGTCTCATTTTTATCACACCATCCACAGATTAGAATTGTGCACAGCAGAATATATCTCTGGTGAAAAATCTTGTCCGACAGGGAGACATGACAAAAAAGCCATCAAACAGGGATTTTTATGTCAAATTACATCAGGGAAAAACAAATAGATGGCTCACCTTCACATACAATGGCTCTCTGAGATGATCCACGAGAAGGCACGCTTTCTCCTCCCACACAGGATTGAGGTTCTTGTATATTATTTTACTTCTAAAAACTTCTTTCCCTCCAATTTTAAACTTCACGTATGGATCACTTGTCCCTGTTAAAGGAATGCAGATCCGTGTTAATTATGCCTTTCTATGGAGGCAAGAGAACAGCTCATCTAAATACCAGAAAGTATCTGAAGGAATAAAAGTTTAAACAAAGCTTATCACATGGAAAATAAGGGTTAGGAGTTTTTCCTAAAAATTTCCTGAAATATTGGAAGTGACAGTAAATTATTTATTATTATTATTATTATTATTAATCTTCTGTACTTAATACTGTTCTGGTATCTAAAAAACTCTATTGCATGCTGCATACATAGATTTAATTCATGTTATAAATGATAGAATTAATCTGACATTTCTCTTGGTATCAACTGTTTAACTATAAAAAAGGTGATCCATGATCTTGGTTGATTTAACTAGTTTTAAACTTACAGATGCTGCTAAAATTTTATACCAGTTTAATGGGCTTAGTTAGGCAAAGATGAGTCTTACATTTGGCTTCAATTCCAACCTTCATCCCATATTCTCTCTTGCTCAGAAGTTTCAATGTTAGCATTTTAGGAAAGACTGAAGATCTCAGAGGAAAGAATCGGGGTCGGGGGGAGTTTAGAAATAATCTGGATACTTCATATTATCCCTTAACACCTCCCAAGCTCCCAAAGATGATAAAGACAATCAGAGCTGTCAGGTAAGCTGCTCATGGACACACAACTAGCAAGAGATGGAGTTAGGATTGCAAACAAGGCTGTTTGCCTCTAATGCTGGTGCTTTTTCTACTACAGGCCCTTACATACACATATATTATACCTTTTTCCATTCTGGCTGATGAATGAGACCAGTCTTGATCTAATGAGTCTATGCTGTTGTTAAGACTCCCAGAGAAGGTGTATCATTAATGACCCCAAGTAAATCATTCCAGTGAGTGACAACCTTCATCCTCAGGAAATAGCTCTTTATATGAGGCCCTTATACAGTGGTACCTCGGTTTTTTAACTTCTCCATTGATGAGCATTTCTGGTTATGAACGCTGCAAACCTGGAAGGAAATGCTTCAGTTTTCGAACATGCCTTGGAAGTTGCACCTGCCACATGGCTTCCGCTGAGGGCAAGATCCTGAGGCCTGTTGGCTGTGGATCCCTCGGTTTTCGAACATTTCAGAACTCGAACGGTCTTCTGGAATGGAGTACATTCGAAAACCGAGGTACCACTGTAACAAAATTTTGTTAAATTTTTCTGTTTGTTTTTTTCCAAACTTAAGTTACAGTTGATAATTATGTCTATATGATTTAAAGAAAAATATAAATGGAGCTATGAAAACTGAAAAGCATCATATGAATATTAGGAATTACAATTATGGTACTGGTCTCCTTAAACTCATTATCTATATCCCTCCTCAACACTCCACTCACCGCAACAACACATAAATATCTATGCTAAACATAAGGAGCCTTATAGGATTTGGCTTTTCTCAAAATTTATTCACTAATTTTGAGAGAGAGAAAGATCTATTTGTTGTTTCACCCATTCATACATTCATTAGTTGATTCTTATATGTGCCCTGACTGAGGATTGAACCTACAACCTTGGCATATGGGGACAATGCTCTAATGAATTGAGCTACTGGCCAGGGCCACATTTGGCTTTTCTTATTTAATCACTTGGGGGCTCTCTCAAAACTCTCCACATTCCCCAACTAAATGTAATGCCTTGTCTTTATGTACGCTTAGACCTGGGTATAATAAAATAATGATCCCAATTCCCCATTGTGAAATTCCCATCTGGATAGTTTAATTTTAACATAATAATACAAACTTTAAAAAACATTTATAAATGTAAATGCAGGCTATTACATGCTAACCTATTATAATGCATTCTTAAGGAAACTCAATGCAACCAAAATATTTAATACTTAAAATGGCTATTTTTAACACAGTGGTTCTAAACTATGGCTGAGGACCCTGGGAATTGAGACTGTTGTAACACATATATTGAGGAATATTAAAATCCATGTACCCATTTGTATTTTCTCAGTCATGCTCTAGATCAAGTATTGCCTTTCATTCTGATAACTATCTATGCAACTGTTACCACCTGCTAAAATATAATAAGCTCCATAATACCAGAGCCTTTTGGGTCACTGTTTTTATAAAATCTTCAGCACTTATTGCAGAATCAGGACATTTTGTCATATACATGATGCCATTTGAGGCAGTAAATATCCAGTGGCCTGAAGAAATAACAATCCAGCAAACAAGAGTAGGTCTAAGGGTTAAATTAGGAATTAGGGATAGATATTTCAGCCTGTGACAAGCACAAAGATCTCAAAGATTAGTATAAAAGAAAGAGAAAGGCTCTTTTTAAGGACTCTGAAAACATGCTCTGATGGTGAAGTATTTTATAAACCTGTGGATTTGGCCATGAGGTGACCTGGATTGAAGATAGTAAATATGTTAGCAAATTTCATAGTCATAACCACTGGAATTTCATAATGCATACAGGATTCATATGCACACTCATGGGAGTCAGTCACCTGACTTTCCTCACTTTGTTTTGACTCCAGAAGATAAAATTTGGTACACTTCTCTCTTTGCAACACTGATTAGCCCTCTGGGAACTATCATTAAAATTTAATAATATTAAATAGTCAAGTTCCTTTAAGGAAATTCTAATTGTTTTCAAGTTATTAACTTGGGGGATCTTTAGTGACTTAGAGTCTTTAATAGTTCAAAACCTTCAGCTTGTGATTCCAACACAGAGAGCTGGAGACATTGTTTTAATTTAGAGTCAGTAAAAGATTTGTATCTAATCTTCTATGTCTGAAAGTGTTTTTCTAAACTTAATTCAGCAATTTATCTGATAATATTAATGGGTATTATTTTCTTTTTAAAAACGAGTTCTGTGATCAAGGATATTTATAAAATGCTAGTTTAGAACAAAATTAAATAGATTAGTTTTCTATAGCTTTTAAATAAGTGAATGGGCTCTCCAAGAAGGGGACATGGCATGCAGCATTTACCAGATTTCTTTGACCACAGGGCCTACTCTTCTGAAGGTCATATTTCAATACTAATAATTTCTACTATCTCTCTGGGAAATGCGATCTTATTATATTTCATAGATAAGAAAGTTTCACCTTTTGGAGGTTCTTTTATTGTAATAGAGTTTCCAGTGAAATCAGATAATTTTATCATAATAAAATACCCAATAAATCCAAACCATTGACACATGGTTGATATTTAATAAATATAGTATACAATAAAAAGATGTACTTTGTTAAAAAAACAAAAAACCAAAACAATTCATGTGCCTGTGCTCTTTCACTGCAATATTACATTTGCCCACAAGATGGCACTAACACTTATCAAATTCTGCAATTCAAAGTTAAGGCATCTCCACTGCACACTAATTCTCAGCATTTTCTTATGCTTTATTGTCGTTAACTGGATCATGACCCTCATTAAAACATTTTTATGGTAATAGTGAAATGAAAACAGGCAAATAAATATGGGAGAATAAAGTAGGAAGTGTTAGCCCTGAAATAAATTTCAGCCTTTGTTATTAATGTGATATTCAAGAGCAACTTTTCAACATTCATTTTATCAGATAGCATTAATTTCAAAATTCATTTGTAAACATTATTAATTATTTTATAATTGTTAGTTCCATGTTTCAAAAAATTTTAGACTATCAATTGTTTATTTCTGTATCCAAAGATCAAACTGTTTACAAAAGAAGAATTAGATGGCATATATAATGTTTTCTCATGTAGTAAAAATTTACATGTCCCCAGTGCTATGTTTTATTTTTATATTTTTTTCAGAGTCATGACACTGATGAGCATTTCAACATTTTATGTGATTGGTTAGTCCAACAGAACTAAATCTAAGTCCAAAAGAACTAAACTTTGAATGAGTCTCTTTTTGCGCCGCAATGAACATAGCAAACACACGATGGCAGCCTCTCTTCCCTTAAAATAGTATTAAACATATTTAAAATGTAAGTAGCCCCCTAATACTGAGTCTCTCGGTTTTCATTCTCAGAATAAATGAGCCTCCTGGTTAACAAGTTTAAATCAGTCTTATTCCAAACCTAATGTGTAATGAAAATAAATAGCTACTCATATTTCAGAGACCTGTAATTACTCCTTATGCCAACTCCCAACCAGGACAATGCCAATTTGAAACTCAGTCCCTGTTAGGGCAAGGAAGGAGGAGAAGGGTGTGCAGACGTTGATGTGAACAAACTGACTCCGTCTTTGTAAGCCCCACACTTTCTCTATTCTTGCTTTAACTTTGGCCTAAGTGGGCCTGGCCAGCGCACGCAGGCCTTGGGGTTGATGATTAGCTGTGTCCTGTAAGCCTACACACTGGAATCACAAAGATCGCTGTCAGTAATGGCCAGAAAGATATAAGAGCTGAGATAACATCCCACTGGTGTTAGTGTCAGTGAATCGTCCACCACACGACCACCAGGAGTGTGGTCCTGGCTCCTACTACACTCTTTGCCCCTTTGTCTCCTCAATCATTAGTTGTTCAGCTATACTATAGAATATTCACTGTAACAACTGCCTAGCAGCGCAGGACTGCTAGGGTCCTCCGTCCACTCACACCCTACATCCCCGTAAGTAAATTCCCTGTAATAGATTCTGCTATGTTCTATGAAGTTTCCTGCTTCGTTTTTTGTCTTAAGACATCTTTCAGGCCAGGCAATTGCTGTACATCAGCTCCGCATTCAGACAGAGGAAAGAAAGAGAAGGAAGAAGAAAAAGACAATGGAAGAAAAGAGAGAAGTAAACGTGAATATCGCATGGCCAGCTAAAAAGAACTCAAATTTTAGCTGGGTCTTCCTGAAGGTACCCAATTTTTCTATAAATTTCTAAAGTTCCTTTTATTGCCCAAATGCAACAAAGAAGGTAACTTTGTGTAATTATATCCTTCATACCAGAAAGAGGCTTGTAAAAACAGTGATGCTCAAGACCTATTCAGAGGAATAGATTGTCTTAATGTAAATTAATTTTCACTAATAATTTTAAAATCTTCAAAACAGGTACT